TATTCCTAAATATTAAATCAACAGAGTATCATTATATCTTTCCAAACTTCACATAGACCAAACATATTTATTAAGTGTTTTTTTTCCGTTAGTTAATCTTTTGTAGCCAATTATTAGTTAATCATGGACTACTATTTGGGAATTAAATAGAGATTTCTATTTATAAACTGGAGCAAATTATTCGAAGTTTGGAATAATTCAATTGATCTTAAATATAAATTCTATATCTATAAATAAATATCGAATGAAAAATTAATGATACAAAATAAAATAATTTTAATATAATTTATTTTTTTAGAAGTATGAGAATAGATCATACAGGTTTAACAATATTGTTTATCTATTTCAAATTTATTTCAAACTAGATTTATTCTCTTCTTAATGATACGTTAAATTTAATGTGATGTATTATTTAAGTATAGGATCTGAAATCATTCATTTAAGTTATTAAAAATTTTCTAGAAGATGAAATTATTCTTAAATATTTATATAAAGCAAAAATATATTAAAGTGGGTCAAAAAATAACTATATAGTTTATTCTTATTTTTGTTTAATTATCTTGCATAATAATCAAAACTTATTACATTTATATGAATTACAAATTTATAAAATTTTAGCATATTATAAAGGTCTTGAATTGTTTATCATTCATTATTTGTGATTTAAACTAATTTCATACTGTAAATTTGATTTCTAATCTGCTCATTTTTCTAAAGTAGCTATAAAATGAAGACAAAAAATTAGTTCTATAGAATTATAATTTTAATTCTTATATATTTACGACTACTAATTTATTTCTGCATCTATTCATAATTCCAAATTGAAAATTATTCACTCTTCTAATTTGGATTACTTATAATTAGGAAAAGAAATTCAATATATATTAAATTATAATTATTATTTATTTTATAATTCATAAGTTGAATATGCTTGACTTTTTTCATCCCAATAGACCAAATATTATCCATTTTTTGTGATAGTTCCATAAATTTGTATTGTGTCACAATTCAATTAATCAACTATTTTGAACTTCCCATTATTAATCTCTATAATGATATAAATATAGGTTTTATGTCTTACTACAATTAAATTCCTCTCCTTATTGTAAATTATTGGAAAACGATATTAATCAGGTTTCTAATTATTTTTAATTAATTGAATTGTCTTCTCCTAATTTTCTTAAAAGACTCCTTCTTTTAATTCAAATATATAGAGTTTATCTATTTATTTACCACCAGTTATCCAAATAAATTAATTATCTTTAATAAATTTAATCTTAAGTCCTTCTTCTTAAATTGACTGTGTAACAAAATGTTTGAATTCAAACTTATCTTATTATCTTCTTTCCCAAATTATAATCTAATTCTTATTTTATGCACATGATATTAATTATGTTTCTGATTAATTTAAACTTAATGCCATAACTTTATTATCATGTTTATCTAATGAATACATGTATGTCAATATATTTTTATTAAAATCAACCTTCCATACTTTAATTGATTTATCTTTACTTCCAGAAAATAGTAGATCCTCATTTGAATTTAATATAATACATCCTATAGTGTTTGTATGTTATTAGTAAGGTTATGAACTACTCCAATTAGTTTAATCCAATAATTTCCAGAATCTTATTGTATTGTCTTATGCACCTGAAATAAAGAAATTCTATTTATTACTATAAACTAAACATAAAACCCAATTAGTATGTCCTTACAATGTTTTAATCAATTTAATTGTTCCATTTAAAAAGTTCCATACTTTAATATCATTCTTTTCTGTTGATACCATTATAGACCCAGTAGAATCAAAAACTATTGCATTACATTTC